GGCAGGCGCTTACCTCCAAAAAAAAAAAAAAAAGTAATGTTATTGGAATATAAAAGTTTTTATTTGAAATTCGAATAGAAAGTGTACACGTTGTATTCAAATACAATTTGTACGTGTTCTATTTGAATTGCTCTGCTTTTTGAGAAAGTAGACTTGTGCCCTTTCAATGTCGAAATATTCAAAACACAAGGACAGCGGTCTCCTTGGACTCTTAGGGGCAGCTACCGGTCCTACGAGCCCCCCCCCCTTGCAAGACCCGAAAACCTCCAAATGCCCACCCTCCCCAACGACCACTGATGTTGAAATTTCAATGACGTTGAAAGTCTCAGGGGGGGAAAACGCAACCCTGACGAGTTGCGAACAACGCGCACATGTTCTATCTGAACTGCTCTTCTATTTCAGAAAATTGAAACCACACCGTTTCGATTTCGGAATGTTCAAAACTCAAGGACCGGCCTCCTCGGCCTCCTACGGGCAGCTACTGGTCTTTCGCATGCCCCCCCTTTGCTAAGCTCCGAAACCTCAAAATGCCCACCCTCCCGTTCGACCACCGACGTTGATTTTTTTTTTTTTTTTTTTTTTTTTATGGGAACAAGGCTCCAATCTATTCGTGGGGAGCAACACGTGCTGGGAACCGGGCCCAGCGTCCCACATGAAAATTTACATAAACTTCGAAAATTGAGATACCGGGGCCATCACCCGGCTTTGGCTAAAAAATTGAAGCTATTTAGGAAATTACTGCGACAAACTTCAGAAATAGACAAAATTCAGAAAATGACTCAGGAACCCCCCATCAGTCCTCTTTACCTCACTCCGACAAGACTTACTGCAACAAATCCACCAGCTTCGTTATTGCTATACCCTATTTCGATCCTACCAGATAGCCCCTTCACTAGTAGGACGCTTGATATCCCACCATCTTTGCTTTTTGAAAACCCCACCAACCCTTCTTTTGTTTTTTGAAACAAAAACATATGCACAATTCAGAAAAAGGCTCAGACACCACTAATCAATCCCCCTGTACTACCCCACTCCGACAAGGCTTACTACAGCAGAGCCACCATTTTCGTTGCTGCTATGCCCTATTCCCATCCTACCAACTAGCCCTCTCACTAGTAAGACGCGTGATATCGTTCTTTCACTCACCTCGATCTCTTTTTTGCGATACCAGGGCCATTACCCGGCTTCGGCCGAGAAAACATCCGAGAAAACTTGCAGTAATTCGGGAGATATGGGAATAGACCGCAGAGGTCCTACAAATGCTCCAAAACCCTCGAAATCCCTAACAAAACCTTCCAGAGTTATCCAACACTGTCTTATTCTCTGCCCAACTCTTCCAGGCCTCACACCTCCACATCGGCAACACAACTCACCCCAGCTCCGACCAACGTCGTCCCAGCAATAACCCTTGGTTATCTCATGGAATACCCACCCCAAAGCACGCCCAGATCTCTCTACCAGGCCGCACACTTCTGCATTAGCAAGTTACAGGGCAACACCCTAGCACCGACCAGCGTCGTTCTGGCATCGAACAACCGCAAATCACTGAGTATAATAGCATCAGAGTCACCTAAGACGAGTTGTTAGGAGTCCCCAGAGTCCTAAAACATTCTTAAAAACACCACAATCAACTTTTTTTTTTTTTTAATGAACATATTCATAAATAAAAGAAGGATAAAAAACAGAGAGACGAAAATAAGAAATAGAGTCCCCAACAATCCAACTCAAACCCTCGCTATAGACAAGAAACCGCGGCTCAGGCTTTCAGTCCTCGTACCAGAAATCGCCAGTTCTCACACCCCCCTAGCTAGGGTTACAAGGCAATAAAAACTGCCCCAACACTGAACTAACTGTTTTCTGATGGAGAGGAATTGTCTTCCTTCCTCGACTACTTCCTTAGATGCAAACTCCCTATTGAGTTACAGGGTCACCGCCCCGGCATCAACTACGTTGAAAGAGGTGATTATGCCTTTCATCCTCGGCATAACTCTAATGGTCTCAAGCCCCTCTTGATCACAGCGCCACTCCTCCAGCACTGACCAAAGTCGCCCCACTCCACCCTTCTAGTAGACTTACTACCCTGAGCAACCCTGCCTCTACTGCACGAGCCCACCCAAAATTCCTCTAAACCATACCTCCGACTTACACCTTCCCACTGACATTTAAGAAAACCAAAAGAAAAATGGATAAGAACTAGAATCACTAAAAATCCATCTCTCTTCGTCACCACAGATGAAGAACATGTCGCTCAAGCTTTCAATCCTCGTACCATAAATCATCGGATCTCATTCCTCCCCTGCTAGGGTTACAAGGCTCTACAAACTGCCCCAACACCGACCTAATTGTTTCTGACGGACAGAGAGTGTCTTCCCCCTCGACAACTCCCTTAACTGTGACGCCCCTTCAAAGCTTACAGGGTCACCGCCCCGGCAACAACTACGTCGGGCAAGATGGTTATGCCTTTCACCCTCGGCATAACTTCAATGGCCTCAAGCTCCCCCTGGTCACACAGCAAATGCTCTAGCACTGACCAATGTCGTCCCAATCTACCCTTCTGATAATAGACTTACCGCCGTGAACCGCCGATCCCTCCTTTGAGTGAACCCCCCCACTTCCCAGTTGTCTCTAATTTGACCTTCCCCCTTTCGTTTGCAAGACCACCTCCTAGCAAATATGAACTACAACTTCCGAAAACCTACAACAGACTTAAAATTAGATCAAAGATGGGTAAACGTGGGACATCAATTCCACTTTGAGAAAATCAATTTGTAACCCTTTGAAATACAAACTTGAATACTCTTTAATTGGAATCAGAGAAAAACTTTGATTCACGAATTATAGATTATGAATCTTGCTAAAAAAATACGAATTTAAGATGAGAAATTGTGTTAAAAAAAAATGAATTTCATATTAAGAATCTTGCTCAGAATATAAAATACGAATTTCGGATTAGGGATCAATTTTATTCAGAAAACACCTAAGATCTCATGAATCAGATGTTAAATAAATCACAATTATAAAAACAAAATCGTTCAAAAACATCCTCTGAAAAAAATTCAGAAAAGCAACCATAACTCACGAAAAATCAGGGGGGAAAAAAAATGACGAATCAAAAAATTCACGATTGACACCAGGACATGAAACTCTCAATTAAAATTCTGATACGTCACATCATTGGAATCCTTTTGTCAAAAATATAAAAAATCATGAATTAGAATCATCAATGAAAAGTCAACCTCATGATGAAAAGCTTGGTTATCCGAAGATTATTAGTAGAGTTCAAATTATAAGACAGCCAAGCCACGCGTGGGTTCAATCCTAATCCAATAAAATGCATCCTCCCATCCCTTCTTCCTCAACCAAGCCACTTACCTCACAACCCTCAAACACTACCCCTGCGTCTTTGGGGAAGGAGAAACTCCCTTCCTCCCACTGCAAGCATCAAGGCTCAAAGCAAAGCTAGCACCAAAGACATGAATGACCATCTTCAATCCCCCGAAGGAAATCGAAAACAGTGTGGCACACCCCCTTGCCAAACCTGTTGGCGAGTTGCCACAGGGGGTTCAAAACCACCATAACTATACCCATACCATACTGTTCAGGAAGAGGGAAGGGTTTTCAAAAAACGAAGACGGCAAGTCCTTACCTAGTACGACGCCTGCTCATCCCCCTGCCCATCTGCCCCACCCTCCTCCCCCCTACCTTACCACACACCCCATCTCCTACCATACACCACCATATCCCACTGTCCACCTCATCACCAGCTCTCCCGTACATACCCTTCTCTCGCCTCGCTTCCTTGCGTCGTCGCCCATCGCATCGCCTTGCATCTTCGCTCACCGCGTCGCCTGGCTCTCCGGTAGATCCCGCGTCGCACCGCTTTGTCTCCGAAATTGCTCCGGCGGGGGCGCAGCGCTCCCAGTCGTGCTGAAGTTTCAATGACGTTGAAATGTCTCAGGCGGGAAAAACGCAACCCTGACGGGCTGCGAACCCGTGCATACCCAATTTTGTCTCCCCGGTTTCTGGGCATGAGCGTAATTTCGCGCCCCTGGACCCAGGCCCATTTCATAGTTTTGTGAAGCCCTCCTGCCACGAAAGCATCTCTCGTCAAGAGCTCGTTTTTTTTTTTTTTTCCCGAAAGAGGAACATGGGACTGTTTTATTCTGTTCCTGTGATTGCATGGTCCAGCTTCGAACCCGGGGCTGTATTTCAATAGTTCATGGGTGCACCAACTGAGCTATTGGTAGGCCCAGGCCTTCGAGGGCATTTTCGCCACCTGGAACCACCGTCTTCTAGCGCGAGGTTCTGGAGACGGCGAAGTTTCTAGAGCGCGGAATGCGCCAGTAGCACTGCGAGATGGTGCCGCCAGCTTTCTGGAGCTCACGGCGGAATGGCGGTTCTGAAAGAACGCAAACTCCAGACGTGGGACTGACCGTTAATGCGGGAGAGGTACATCCATCCTCGGAAAACTAAAATATATTGCTGTTCCAGAAGCATTGTCCAGAAGTCGTCGTGCGAGTATGCCTACGGAAAACTGGAATATTGCTGTTCCAGAAGCATCGTCCAGCCAACACGTCTCCGTCGCGTAGACAAGCGAGCTTGCGGAGCCGTGGCTGCCCGACCGTCACCTTGTCTGGTGTTGACTGGCGTGAGGCTGGTTGGGTGGAAAAGAGATGAATTCTACATATAAATATTGCATGCGGCTCCTCAAAGAACAATCAGAATCGGAATTTTGCAGACCCAGAATGTGAACTGAGCGGGAGTACATTCTATGGGTACGCGCATCCAATGCACGGGAGAGTAACTGAGCTGTCAGGTGACGAAGGCCATCATTGGGTGAAGCATTGTCGTTAGGAGGATGCGAACGAATAGTGTGGTGGACGCCCCGCGTCGACACGGTTGGAGAGGGATCTCTTCGTTTGATTTCGCTGCGTTTGCGACGCTTGCTTGGCATTACGGCTGGCTGCGGGGGTCGATTGCGGTTCAGGGTGCGAGTGCGCGCCTGACAGACGTGGTGGCAGGACGCAGGTTGCAGTAGAAGCGGTTGCGTTTGAAAGGAAGGGGGAAGCTATGGCGCCGCGGCAGCAGAAGGGCGGGAATTCGGGTCCTGCTATTGGGATTGACCTGGGGACGACGTACAGCTGCGTGGGCGTCTGGCAGCATGATCGCGTAGAGATCATCGCCAACGACCAGGGTAATCGTACGACGCCGTCCTATGTGGCGTTCACCGATACGGAGCGATTGATTGGCGATGCAGCGAAGAATCAGGCGGCCATGAATCCGGCAAACACGGTGTTCGATGCGAAACGGCTGATCGGGCGCAAGGTGAGCGACCCGTCCGTGCAGGCGGACATGAAGTTGTGGCCTTTCAAGGTGGTGGCTGGCAGCGGGGACAAGCCCATGATCAGTGTCGCCTACAAGGGAGAGTCCAAGCAGTTTGCCCCCGAGGAGGTATCGTCGATGGTGCTGACGAAGATGAAGGAGATCGCCGAGTCGTACCTGGGGAAGGAGGTGGGGAACGCGGTGATCACGGTGCCGGCGTACTTCAACGACTCGCAGCGGCAGGCGACCAAGGACGCGGGCGCCATAGCGGGGCTGAACGTGCTGCGGATCATCAATGAGCCGACGGCGGCAGCCATCGCGTACGGGCTGGACAAGAAGGACAAGKCGGGSGGGGAGGCGAACGTGATGATCTTCGACCTGGGAGGCGGGACGTTCGACGTGTCGCTGCTGACGATCGAGRACGGCATTTTYGAGGTGAAGGCGACGGCCGGGGACACKCACCTGGGRGGGGAGGACTTCGACAACAGGATGGTTCACCACCTGGTCCAGGAGTTCAAGAGGAAGCAYARGAAGGACATCACGGGGAGCGCGAGGGCGCTGAGGAGGCTGCGCACGGCGTGCGAGCGCGCGAAGCGCACGCTGTCCACCACGGCGCAGACGACGATCGAAATCGATTCCCTCTACGGGGGGATCGACTTCTACACCACGATCACGCGCGCTCGCTTCGAGGAGCTGAACATGGACCTGTTCCGGAAGTGCATGGACCCGGTGGAGAAGACGCTGCGCGACGCCAAGATGGACAAGTCGCAGGTGACGGAGGTGGTGCTCGTCGGCGGCTCGACCCGCATTCCCAAGATCCAGCAGCTGCTGTCGGACTTCTTCAACGGGAAGGAGCTGTGCAAGAGCATCAACCCCGACGAGGCGGTGGCGTACGGCGCGGCGGTGCAGGCGGCCATCTTGACGGGCGAGACGAGCGAGAAGGTGCAAGATCTGCTGCTCCTGGACGTGACGCCGCTCAGCCTGGGAATYGAGACGGCCGGCGGCGTGATGACGGTCCTCATTCCGCGGAACTCCACGATCCCGACGAAGAAGGAGCAGGTCTTCTCCACGTACGCGGACAATCAGCCGGGCGTGCTGGTCCAGGTRTACGAGGGCGAGCGCGCCAGAACGCGGGACAACAACCTGCTGGGCAAGTTCGAGYTGTCGGGCATTCCTCCYGCRCCGCGYGGCGTGCCCCAGATCACCGTCRCYTTCGACATCGACGCCAATGGCATCCTGCACGTKAGTGCGGAGGACAAGAGCACCAAGCAGAGGAGCAAGATCACGATCACCAACGACAAGGGGAGGCTGAGCAAGGAGGAGATAGAGCGGATGGTGAGGGACGCGGAGAAGTTCAAGTCGGAGGACGAGGTGGCGAGGAAGAAGGTGGACGCCAAGAACGGGCTCGAGAATTACGTGTACAACCTGAGGAACAGCGTGCTGAAGGATGACAACGTGGCGTCCAAGCTGGACCCGGCAGACAAGGCGAAGATGGAGAAGAAGGTGGAGGAGGTGATGGCTTTGCTGGATCGCAATCAGCTGGCGGAGCTGGACGAGTTCGAGGACAAACAGAAGGAACTGGAGAGCCTGTGCAATCCGATCATGTCCAAGCTGTATGCTTCGGCGGCCGGGGCCGGCGGCATGGGCGGAGGAGGTGCGGGGGTTTTCCCCGCCGGGGGCGCAGCAGCACATGGCAAGGCGACGGCGGGAGCAGCGGGAAACGGCCCCGTTATCGAGGAAGTTGACTAAAGTTAATTGATTGATCGATCTATGTGTGTTCAAGCACATGACGACGGTGTTGGTGGTGTGTCGGGACACCACGGACTGTAGGCCCGGGAGCAATTTTTATCCTAACGAGGCATTTGTTCGGAGTCTTGTCTGGCATGGCTCCTTCTGTACAGCGGCGGCATTTGTTTCTTACAGGAAAACGTTGTTATTAGCACACACTTGCGGGGCGCGTCTCAGACCCTCTTGCGTGGAGGGGTTTGGGTTGGGCTGTTCAAAGAGTGGTATTGTGTTATTAGGTAGGGACAGGGACACGAGGGAGACGAGGAGATGTCGAGGGAGAGAGAGACATCTAACAATGTGCTTGGAGGTCTGGTTTTGGCGATCGCTGGCATCGCCCGTAGTGTACGTAGTGTAATTTGCCACGTCGGCGAGGCGTCTGTGTTCAAGATGGATCGCTGTTCTATTGGGCGATGATTTACAATTTCGATCACACGCACTGCCACCATATTGAGCGGCTGTTTTATTCTGTCGAACCAGATCGAGGGAGGGATATCGTCCGGAGATCCTGGCGGCAATCAACGGCGGCAGAGCGAGCATCTCAATTCTCGAATTGAAAGGGAACGGAGTGCAGGCAGGTTATACTTTAGACAGGAGGCTCGTTGGTATGTTTGTGGCGAGGAATAATAGCAGTGGCAAGAGGTTGATTTGTATCTTTGTAATTATAATGACTATCATTCATTTTGGCGGAATTCTCAATGTGCAGGGCTGTGATGATGGGTCGAGTTCTATCTGCTTGCCTCTGTTGTCCTTTTTACTATTTTTCTCTTTCTTTCTCTCGTTCGCCTTTTCTCTCTTTCTCTCTTTTCTCTTCACATTTTCTCTCTTTCCTTTGCCCCTTCCCCCTACGCCTGAGTCGTAACCGCTTGCTGGAACTCAAACGCACCAATAAAGAAATTCACCACGACATTCTGCTCATTTACGGTGAAGACGGGCGAAGAAGAGAAATGATCTGTACGTATGCCGACAGTCGGATTGTTCTTTTTGGGTTTCTCTGAGATCAGCCGAGATCAGCCGGGCTGATGTTTCACTCCTTATAGTTGAGACAATTGATTGTGAACAGTGCATATAAGTGGTGGCGATTGCCGACAAATCAGTCATTTCACATCCATCCATGCTGATTGAACTCCATGCCGTGGAGAATTCCTGTAGGACAGAAGGGTACTTAATTACGCGTGACTGCCCATTCGTTCTCGACTGTGCATGCAGTGCGCTGTACATAGTATTCCTTCGAATCTGCAACCACACGCCATAATTCCAGCAGAAAAGACATGACACAATCTCCAAGACACTGAGCTGCGGACGCTGATGGAAATACTATCTCGCATGGCATCTTGACAATCCTACCTACAGACATATGTGGGAATCTGTGACCGACATTCTCGATGGCCACGGACTCCTGTAATCCACGTTGGGAGATTACACCGTATCTCCATTTCACTACCAAGTCTCCACCCCAGGCTCGAAGCATGTACTAAGTCACCACCTGCTCATTGCCCTGTCCTGGGGGTTACCCTGTGCAACAATCTTTCCCAACCTACACCTCGCTCAACGACCTGCCGTTTTTCGTTGTGAGATCTGCATAGCAGGCGCCCTCATAAACCCTCGTTTAAGTCAGTAGAAAGATGGGTGGCCGCACATTTCGTCAGCTATGCTCTCCGGGAGTGATCAGCTCCCTTTGAGGCAAGGATAATGAGTTCTGTCGAGAAGCGGTGTAAACAAGTACAAAGATGGCCTCACATTTCCTCAACTATGCTCTCCGGGAGTGATCAGCTCCCTTTGCGGCAAGGATAATGAGCTTTAAATCGAGAAGCGGTGTGTGGCGCTGCTCCCGCAACTTGTGAAGGGTTGCGGAGATTGCCTTGGATCTCAAGCAGGCAAAATGCGCATCCCTCCATCGATCGATGGGCTCACATGACAGAGTATATACCGCAGTGCAATGTATTGGAACCTGCCACATGATGCGTGTGCTTACGCCGGCAGAAGTCTCAGGGCACACTCACGCTACTAGTGACGCTAGGACTTTCCCACTTCGCAATTACATCCACTCGGGATCGGAAAAGCAGTCAATATGCATCCGAGAAAGGCCTCCCGTCTTCCCCAACGCACCCTCATTTCTGGCTGCATCGGCCCGGAAACGTAGCTTGTATACATTATTAACAGGCTGCGTTGTGTTCGGGGGAAGGCGGTAGTGTGAGGATGCCTTCAGTGGGGTTTCAGGGGGGAATCGAGTAGAAGTCTTGTTTTGGCAGGGTACGTGTTGATTCTCGAGAAAAAAGGCTGCACTACTCTTGAAATGCACAGAAGACAAAAATCATGGCCGTGTATCTTTCCATATTCTAGCGGAAGATTCACTCTCGTTTTGCGCATTTCGAGAGTAGTGCAGCGAGGCCCAAAGGATTACTCTTGACTTTTCCTGATTTTTTGGGACTGTCTTAACTTTTCTCAGCCGAAGCTGGGTGATGGCGTTTCGAGCATGTGCTGGTCCCCACGAATAGATAGGAGCCTTTGTCCCAAACAAAAGAAAACAAAGCAGGCGTTATGAAAGGAAGAAACAAACCTGCCACATGATGGGATCCTTACTTATCTACTGAACGCAGTTTACGAGGCATATGATTATATGCCTCCTATAGCTAATCCCACACAACAGAAGGCAGGGACAAGCTTTGGGCCCATCATTAGAATGAATGGGCTACTTCACATTGCCGTATGCAGAGGAAAAGGATCCCTCCATATTCAAAGGTAAAGCACAGCTTCAGGCTGTGCAAATGTACAGAAGGCTCTACAAACAGAGAATTGGGGTAAAGCTTGAAAAAGAAAATGAAGGAGGCATGCCCTTCGGCAGGAGCGCCTGCTTGTTTTTGCAAAAAAAAGGGGTTCATTGGAACATCTAGACAGAATCTTCCTAAGCGTTCGAGGAGTACCTTCGCTGGATACATTTTGTTGCGATTTACCAACGGCCCACCCGCGTCCAAATCCGAAAATGGCGCTTTGCATGTGTGAAAACTGGCTCCGGTTCTTCAACAGAGGAGTTCTTTTGTTTTTTGTTTTTTTTTTTCAAACAGAGAAGTGAGTTCCTAAGAACAGAAGGGGAAACAAAAGAGGAGTGAGTTTTTCTTTCGCTCAGTTTTTGGATTGATGAATGCTCTTGAGCGAAGTATCGTGTCCTCTGCCTTTTCGTTGAGACTGTTACGTAGATAGCCTTGGAGATATGCCACCACTGTACGGTAAGTCGGTACGACTGTACGGTACGTTGGTAGCACTGTACGGTACGTTGGCAGCACTGTACGGTACGTTGGTAGCACTGTACGGTAAGTTGCATATCGAGTTTCGATGTGTTATGTTGTTGCATGTCTGTTCTTTAGTTTCAAGCATTTTTCAAGTTCAATGCTTCCATCTCCATGCATGAGCCTTAGTAGTGGTGGCTGAATTGTATATGATCGGCTATATCGCTCATGAATAGCGGCAAATTCCACTTGCCACATGTAAACCACCAGCACTTGGCCCAGCTATCGGCCGCGGGAAAACATGAGAGTAGAAACGTTAGGTTTCTAGTTGCGTGCATTTGGGCTCTCCTGTAGTGGCCCGTACGTTTCCTTAAATGCTGGCTTGTTAACGGGCTGTGGTTGTAAGGAAGCACTGGTGGTTTTAACAGATCTGCCATGTTTTGCGATCGGGTTACCTGGTGGACATTTTGGGAAAAGTGATGTGGACAATGTCCTGGCGACTGCACAAGTAGGCAGATTTCTACGTGCATGTTGCTTTGCCATAAGGGCCTCGCTGCCATTTTTAGAGTGTTCCACAATGTGGCAGATCCCCTGTTATCAAAATGTGCGCAGGACTCTGCCGATTGCCGATTGCCATGCTTTCCGTATTTCGGGAATGCCTAAGCTCTTTTTCATTTTAAATTGACAAGTGCCTTTTCATTCAAGTTCGAGTTGATAAAGCACCCCCCTTTCTCTAATTTTGAAGTCCATGTTGTAGTAGAGGGTGGGTGCTAGGCCTCCGGATGTGCCTGTCGTCGTACTCAACCAGTGAGGGGTTTCATTCCAAGTCTTTTTGAGTCAATTACACATCTGCAACGGCCAAGAAGCCATAGGTTCAACATTTGAGCTTTTCCTGCTGCTAACGTGGGTACTGCATCACGGGGTGGAGATTCCGCCAGGGAATTCCACGAGCAGCAAAAGATCAACTGATCTTTACCTGTGTGGCCACTGCTCCGCACGCACGATTCAGAACCAATTGGCTCAATTCTGAGCAACTCCCACTGCTGCTGGACTATCGGGCCGGATGCTTTTATAGTGTAAATCCAATCAACCCAACTCAGGCATGTATCGGTCTCTCTCTACTCCTCATCGCTTCGATGCATCGTAGCGAAATTTGTTGTTGCCTTCACTTCTTCATTTCAATTAATGATTCGCTACTGCGTAATCAATTTAATGATTATCTCTACCACCCCGGCCGCCCGGGTCACGTTGTTTGCCCTCGAACCAGTGAAGTAGCCAGAAAAAAAGGAAAAATTCAAAAAAAAACACAAAAAAAAAACTGAAAAACAGCTGCGCGTTGCACAAACATAACAGTTTTGCCTCAGGGTCACATCCACCTAATTTGAAGTAAAAATTAAATAACAGTTCTTTCACTTAATGTTTTGTCCTCTTTTTCGCCCAGCCGGCCAACTTCCCCCAGGCCACTCTGGTAGCCTACAAAGCTGTCAAAAGTCCTTCAAGAGTAGAGGGGTACGGGTTCAGGGCTACGACTAGAGGGGTACGAGGAGGGAGAGGGGAGAGTGTCGAAGGAAAAAAGAGTGGGTGAAACAAAAAACTCCTGCGTGAGAGAGTAAGCATCATTTCACAGCATTCGTGAAGTTCAACGCCATATCCTTGGAAAGCAGGCGGGAGCAGTAGATGGCGTTAACCATCACTACACCCATGCGAGCGAGAGTAAGCATATCTTTTCACAGCATTCGTGAAGTTTCCCGCCATATCACTGGAAAAGCAGTTTTGCCTGAAAGAGCGTTTCGATTGTATCCAAGCACACGTAGCTGTTAGCAAAGAGGTGCTGAGGTCGAATTCTGGTGGAGTATTTTACTAGTAATAGCAGTCGAATTAAAAGCGTTTCGATTCCACATGTGCCCTCAACAGTAAGTCAATGGGTACACCCATGAACTGTTGAAATACAGACCTGTGTTCGAAAACAGATGATGGAACTTGACGAGTAAAACCAACTCCTAATGAATTGCTTGGGGCCGGTCAGCTCAATGATAAAAACAATTCAAAAGAAGCGTTTCGATTGATCCCGACTCATCTGGCCACTTGCTGCGCACATTTAAAACTTCCCACACAGATCATACGTTCGAATTCTGGTGAAGGTACTACAATTACAAAGATCAAGGACAACTTCATCCTCTGTGCAAAATTGTCACAATTTACAGTAATAAACTTCAATCAGAAAAAACAATACCGACTTCGGTAACAACAGGAATTGCGGTAATTGCAGATATAGCACGTTTTCGAAGCTTCGCAGCAGAAATTATTTTTTTTTCTTTTTTTTTTCCGCAGCAGAAATGTTGTACAGGTCCAAAAACTCGATTTTTTGCAAGGAGAGTGGGTTCCCACCTGCAAATATTATCGCTATAAAACTACCGAGACCCTAAAAAAAATTTCAACAAAAAAAACTTGGGCCAATATTTTCGCTGTGAAACTACCGCGACGAGCTAGTTTTGAACTAAAACACAGGAATTTTACTCCAGCGACTGCCTTTTTTCTCGCAAAAATGCACGCACCCTCCACCCTCAAGTGCTGGGACTACGATTTCACTCCAGCTAGCCAGAACTGACATAAAATGCAGCCGTAGATCGCTAAGATCAGCGTCCAGTATCTCTCCCAACTGATTATTAAGTTAATTACCCAGCTGACTGCGTGGAAAATAGTGTGAATAAAATAAAATAAAAATAAAATAGTGTGAGTAATCAATTGAAATTAATGACGAAAATAAAAGAACTAAATTCTATCTTAACGTCGCCGGATCGCCGAAATTACGACACACTGTCAGCAAATTTCCCCCACCTTCTTCCAACAGTTCACCATCTCCCCTCGCCAGCTACCAACCTCCGAAGATCCCACCTACTTGACACAAGTATCAGATGAAGGCACTGACGCGGCATGCTCACACAAGGAACTCCTTCGCTTATTCCTGGACACAATTGCAATCAAGTATAACTAAGTACGGCCGTAATTACGGTCAGATACGTCTAAAATGTGCTCGTGTGAACATGCTCTGACATACTGAAAAGTTCCGCTGCACACAAGGAGCGCCTCCAAACAACCTGGGTATGGTTTATCTACGATCTACTGTTTATCCCCCACACCTCCTACACCCTCAGTTGCTCCACGTCAGTGCAAGTCTACTTCCTCCATCCCTTGCTTGACGTTGACTTAACACGTGCTGCTGCGCCGGCGGCGGGGAACCCCCTTCTCCTACACCCTCATTAGCACCACGTCAGTTAATTTAGTCCACTTCCTCAATCACTGGCCCGTATCCTGCTACCGCCATCGACTCGCCACGTGCTGCTGCGCCCGCGGTGGGGAACCCATCCTCCTACACCCTCATTTCTTCCACGTCAGTTAATTTAGTCAACTTCCTCAATCAGTGGCCCATTTCCTGCTCCCGCCGTCCACTTGCCCCGTGCTGCTGCGCCCGCGGCGGGGAACTCCCCCTCCTACACACCTCATTTGCTCCACGTCAGTTCACTTAGTCCACTTCCTCAATCACTGGCCCGTTTCCAGCGCCCGACGTTGACTTGCCACTTGCTGCTGCGCCCGCGCCGGGGAAGCCCCCCGCACCTCCGCCCATGCCGCCGACCCCGGCCGACGAGGCATACATCTTGGACATGATCGGATTGCACAGGCTCTCCAATTCCTTCTGTTTGTCCTCGAACTCGTCCGTCTCCGCCAGCTGATTGCGATCCAGCCAGGATATCACCTCCTCCACCTTTTTCTCCATCTTCGCCTTGTCTGCCGGGTCCAGCTTGGACGCCACGTTGTCATCCTTCAGCACGGTGTTTCTCAGGTTGTACACGTAATTCTCGAGACCGTTCTTGGCCTCCACCTTCTTCCTCGCCTCCTCGTCCTCCGATTTGAACTTTTCTGCGTCCCTCACCATCCGCTCTATCTCCTCCTCGCTCAGCCTCCCCTTGTCGTTGGTGATCGTAATCTTGCTCCTCTGCTTGGTGCTCTTGTCCTCCGCACTCACATGCAGGATGCCATTGGCGTCGATGTCGAAGGTGACGGTGATCTGGGGCACGCCGCGCGGCGCGGGAGGAATGCCCGACAGCTCGAACTTGCCCAGCAGGTTGTTGTCCCGCGTTCTGGCGCGCTCGCCCTCGTACACCTGGACTAGAACGCCCGGCTGATTGTCCGCATACGTGGAGAAGATCTGCTCCTTCTTCGTCGGGATCGTGGAATTTCGTGGAATGAGGACCGTCATCACGCCGCCAGCCGTCTCGATACCCAGGCTGAGCGGCGTCACGTCCAGGAGCAGCAGATCTTGCACCTTCTCGCTCGTCTCGCCCGTCAAGATGGCCGCCTGCACTGCCGCGCCGTACGCAACCGCCTCGTCGGGGTTGATGCTCTTGCACAGCTCCTTCCCGTGGAAGAAGTCGGACAACAGCTGCTGGATCTTGGGAATGCGGGTCGACCCTCCGACGAGCACCACCTCCGTCACCTGCGACTTGTCCATCTTGGCGTCGCGCAGCGTCTTCTCCACCGGGTCCATGCACTTCCGGAACAGGTCCATGTTCAGYTCCTCGAAGCGMGCGCGCGTGATCGTGGTGTAGAAGTCGATCCCCYCGTAGAGGGAATCGATTTCGATCGTCGTCTGCGCCGTGGTGGACAGCGTGCGCTTCGCGCGCTCGCACGCCGTGCGCAGCCTCCTCAGCGCCCTCGCGCTCCCCGTGATGTCCTTCYTRTGCTTCCTCTTGAACTCCTGGACMAGGTGGTGAACCATCCTGTTGTCGAAGTCCTCCCCYCCCAGGTGMGTGTCCCCGGCCGTCGCCTTCACCTCRAAAATGCCGTYCTCGATCGTCAGCAGCGACACGTCGAACGTCCCGCCTCCCAGGTCGAAGATCATCACGTTCGCCTCCCCCCCCGACTTGTCCTTCTTGTCCAGCCCGTACGCGATGGCCGCCGCCGTGGGCTCGTTGATGATCCGCAGCACGTTGAGCCCCGCTATGGCGCCCGCGTCCTTGGTCGCCTGCCGCTGCGAGTCGTTGAAGTATGCCGGCACCGTGATCACCGCGTTCTTGACGTCCTTCCCCAGGTACGACTCGGCGATCTCCTTCATTTTCGTCAGCACCATCGACGATATCTCCTCGGGGGCGAACTGCTTGGACTCTCCCTTGTAGGCGACGCTGATCATGGGCTTGTCCCCGCTGCCAGCCACCACCTTGAAAGGCCACAGCTTCATGTCCGCCTGCACGGACGGGTCGCTCACCTTGCGCCCGATCAGCCGTTTCGCATCGAACACCGTGTTCGCCGGATTCATGGCCGCCTGATTCTTCGCAGCATCGCCAATCAACCGCTCCGTGTCAGTGAAAGCCACGTAGGACGGCGTGGTCCTATTCCCCTGATCATTGGCAATGATCTCTACGCGATCATGCTGCCAGACGCCCACGCAACTGTACGTCGTGCCGAGATCAATTCCAATAGCAGGACCCGAACTCTCGCTCCTCTGCTGCCTCGACGCCATAGCTAATTCTTCCCTCCGATGCCAGCCACAAGGCTCCCCTCTCGGCAGTAACGGTCTTCTCAGTTTCTTATAACATAACCTCACTGCGGATCCCTGTCCCAATATACCGCGATCGACCTCGCGAGGTCAGCGATGGTGGTGTCTAGCTCAGTATGCAAGCTGCAGAAGGCTCCCCTACACACAAGTTGATACTCATAACGCCACGCAACTTGTATGTGTTCGTCTTCCACGCCGCAGTCTAGCAGCCGACCAACTGTCAATTTCACAATGACTCCACTCTACTCGACGACTACAATCGTTATTGTCACCTGTTCTCTCAATAATTCGACACACGCATTCTATGGAACGTGTTCACCAAGACGAACGTTCTCTCAATCATTCACCACAAGCAGGCAGACTTGGCACAGACAGTTATTGCTTACGAATTGGATCGATCGCATACTTCATCACACCGAGTTCAGTGTCTGACGCGAAGTCGCATACGAACCGGGAGATATATACTCCATATTATGCGCAAGAGTTGATGTTGACGCCTTGACGAACGCTGCGGGAAGTAATGCGGCCTTCTGTGCGACAAGGCCGAGTCGGCTGCGTGACTCTTCTAGAACCGTGTTGTACCGCAGTTTCCAGAACTTCCGTTATTGCGGTTTCTCCGCTGCGGGAAGTAATGCGGCCTGTGTGCGACAAGGCCGAGTCGGCTGCGTGACTCTTCTAGAACCGTGTTGTACCGCAGTTTCCAGAACTTCCGTTATTGCGGTTTCTCGGTTCCCGTTCCAGACTTGGTCGGCGGGGAGGCTATGTTCCACCTGCCCCGGTCCTCCTTTTGTGGCCATACATTATTGAGATGGACGGTCCGAAACGACGAGGGATCTGGTTTTGCTGTAACGGCCCCCGTCCGGCTTGGCCTCGAGGTCTGGATGAAGGCGGGAGATGACAGACCTCATCACAGACCTTGAGATGCCCAGTACTGGTAGCGGGAGGGTAACTGCGAACGCATGCCGTCAGCGGTCAAGATGACGCATCCGTGCGGTTGAAAAATAAGGTGTCTCCGGCCCGTCCTTTTTTTTTTTTTTTTGGGGGGGACCATTTCCCAATTTATGCGTGTCATCCTTGCGCAGGGGCCATGCTAATCTTCTCTGTATCGTTCCAAGACAGATGTCTCTCTGTATCGTTCCAAGACAGATGTCCCGAAGGCCATGCTAGATCTCTCTGAAAACTCTACCTTTTGGGACCAATCTCAGTCTGCCATCTCTAGAGCGTTGGCTGAAGAACTGGACAGACCCATAGAGGAACCAGAACTCAGCCAAAGCCATGGCCAAGGGCAAATGTCCTGGCCGGGATGGCCTTCCCATATAATTTTTTCTATTACCTGGGGGATCTGGGCTCCCTTCCTCTGCGAAATTTACAATCAGGCACGTACGACAGGGAAGCTTCCCAAGGGGTTTACCCAAGGGATGATCTCCCTGTTATATAAAAAAGGGGACAAACGCGAAGTTAAAAACTGGCGTCCTATTTCGGTCTTAAATGTTACATATAAGCTGATGACTAAAACTTTGGCGTTACGACTGGCCGAACTCCTCCCAAGCCTGATTGGAATGGAACAGGGGGCTTTTGTTAAAGGTCGGTCTATATTCGATAATATTTCGTCTACGATTCAAGCCCTATAAATCATGGATAAAGAGAAAAGGGATGTGGCCATCCTTCTCCTTGATATGGAGAAGGCGTATGACAAAGTTGGATGGTGTTTTGTTCACACCACTCTAAGAAAAATGGGGTTTGGTCCAGCATTCCATACATGGGTCAGTGCAAGCTATGAACAAGCTTCTTCTATGGTGATTGTGAATGACAGACTTTCAGCGGAATTCAAATTAACACGGTCCCTGAGACAGGGTTGTCCTTTAGCTCCGCTTTTGTTTGTTTTACAGTTAGAAGTTCTGTTAGCAAATATTAGGCGTAATCCTGCTGTGTCGGGTCTTAAACTATCCCCTGGTTTAGAATGGAAGGGGTGTGCTTTAGTTGACGATCTAACTGTCGCCTGCGAAAACAATCCGACTCCATTGAATGAATTGAAATCTATTATTGACTCTTATTGTAACTTATCGGAAGCCTCCATCAATTGGGAAAAATCGGTTTATTTTCTCCCCCCTCCCCAGGTGTTGAGTGTGGACTGGGGCCTCAAGCAAATACCTCTGGCGGATAAAGTTTCTGCCCGCATTGCAGGGTGGGCTCATAACTTCAAATTGGCCCTGTTTGGCAGGACTTTGGTTTTAACCGCAGCAGCCCTTTCAGTTTTGTGGTTTCCTTTATCTGTCCATCGACTGGGTAAACGAGCTTATAATCAAATTAAGAGGGATGTGGCGTGCTTTCTTTGGAAGCCCGGTGCATCAACTCAACAAGGATTTATCTGGAAGGTTGCATGGGATTCAGTGGCGTGCTCCAGAACGCAAGGGGGTTTGGGTATACTGGACCCAGTCCAACAGAACATGACTCTCCTATCAAAATGAATTATTGCAGCAACATTTGGTATCAGAACCAAACTTTGGGTTAAATTAGCAGAATATTTGCTTATGAAGGAATGATCCCTGAAGAGAATGGAGGATGTATGAACCTGCTGCTTTATTCAGTCTTACACACTTCGCAGACCCAAGTCAAAGATTTGGCACAACATTCTGAGTGAGTGGCAAAAATTGTTCTCTCAAGTTTGGCTCCCCTCTTCTACAAGAAGAGAAGTCCTTAATCAAATTCTCTTTGAAAATGAGTACATTAAGACACACGAAGGGTTGACCTAAAAGGCAGACGGGACTACGGGCTCTTTTGGGAAAGCCTGGATTGAGAAAGGGGTGATACAAATCCAAGATAACTGGGACGAAGAGGCAGAATCATGGTTGTCACCTGCTCAGCTTAGACTCAAGCTCCCTCGTCTGCGAAATGTAGAGGCTAACTACAGACAAATACTATCTAGCATCCCTACTTATTGGCTGAATCTCCTCCCATGCTCAGTGAAGTATGTAGCAGGTTCTTGGGTTCGGGACCCTGCGGTTAGTTCTGAAATATTGAGGATAATTGGTCTAGAGATCCCCCATGGGATAAAGGTTCAGGTTTGGAAACGATGTTTTAGTTCTGTGCTCCCGGGTAAGTTGGGTTTTGTGGAAGAGCGTGTGATTGACACTTCAGTAGGTCTCCTTGAATGCAGGGTACAGGGAGGCAGTCCAGTAGGAAAGGAGAAGACTGTGCTGATTTCAGATGATGCCTCTCAACTGAAGATTGAACCTCTGCTGTGCGGGTGGAAGGGAATCATGGGGCCAGACTCCTTTACACCAGTAATAAACTACTCAACTAAAATCGGAGTCCAAGTTCAGAGATCCACAGTGGTAAACCAACCGGTGGTTACGGCATCAGAAAGATTATCTAAGGAGCCGGGTTTCTCATTGGGTAATGTAGACCTTTTTGCTTTGTGGAAAGATCTAAAATCTTTGACTTGTCAAAAGCATGCCAGCCTTTTACGGTTACAATCTCTGCTGGCGATACCCTCTGCTACCTGGTTGAACTCTAAAGGAATGAACATCAATACTCAGTGTACTCGCTGTAAGTGGGGATGGGAGACAGCGGCCCATGTGTGGATGTACTGCCCATATTCCCTGCAAGTTTGGGAGTGGTGGAAAGAACGGTGGAAGGATATGGTTGGTGAACAGTTCTTATGGAGCCAAGATTGGTTTATATATGGTTTGGCCCAGGCGGGCTCAGACTTCTCTTCTGGTTGGCCTTACGTGGCCCTAACCTGCAGAGGAGTGGTTATGGAAACCCTGTGGAAATCGCGCAACGAAGCAACATTCAAGTCGGAACCTCCTAATTTCCACAGCCAGAAAGTTGTCATTCTGTCCTCACCGAAGCAGATAATCCGATGTGAATGGTACAACTCCATCAGACACCCCCGAAAAGGGCGTATCTGGTTTGCACAAACATGGGGCAGATGTACTAATGCCATATCAACTTCTCCGGACCGAAAGCTCGCGTCCAAAAACTAGCTCTTATACGAGTCGCGGGTCGGTGTTAGATCGTCTTAGATCGTCAGAGCTTACAAGCAAGGCGCTTTAGCCCTGAGTTCAATAACTGTTTTAGTTTGCCTGGTCATGTGTTTGGTGAAATTACAAGTAGAATCTCTTTAGATGTTTGTTCTATAGATGTAGTTTCAATTTTGGTAGATAGAAGAGAGTTGGCATTGAATTTGGTATATTTCTAGTTTGAATGGAAGATTTCTTTGTTTCGGATTTCGTTCTGGTTCCAAGAGAAGCGAATCTGGGTAAAGCTCCCAGAGGAATTGCTGTAGAGTTCAATGTTTGGGTAGGATTAGTTTCTTAGGCGAATGACTTTAAGCTAAACTGACTGATGCCGCCAGGATAACACCGGGTAAAATTGTGAGTTCCCCGGCCTCGTTTGCTTTTGGAGAAATATAATGGAAGGGGCTTTATAAATAATAATAATAATAATAAAAAAAAAAGAACAATACAGAGAAGATTAGCATGGCCCCTGCGCAAGGATGACACAAATAGAGAATGCGGGGGCTGCGGTTCGGGCGCACGGTAGCGCTCCGCATCGTACTGCCGGCGGTAGTTTGTGCGGACTCCGGTTGGGGCACACGGTAGCGCTCCGCATCGTACCACCGGCGGTAGTTTGTGTCGACACTCTCTCGTCACTTTCTGCGTCCCCTGTGAGGAAGTGAGGCGGCCACCAGCTTGCGTCAACTTGTTGACGCCAACCATAGCCAAGTGCTCTGGGAGGTATAGGAGCCGGTCGAGAGTCTCTGGATAACACCGGGACACCATGTGAATCATGTGAATTGACGTGCGCTTCGGCGCCCGCCAGGAAAGTACAGCTTGAAGCGGAGACAAGAAGTCGAGTTGGAGAGCTGGCATAAGGTCTTCCAGTGTCAGGGCGTGCTAGCCCCAAAAGCGTCGACGGTGTGACAAACTAGTTTCTGTAACCACGCGACTTCATGCGCGAGGCTCCTGTGGGGAAACGGGAGGGCTTTGATGGCTGACGGGCGTAAGCAGGGATCGGTTGGGCAAGTTGCATGGATGCCCTCGCTTCTTTTTCGTTCTTGTTGGAATTCATTGGGCCGACGCAGGGAAAGCCCCGCGCTGACGATTGAGTGACTGCGTCCGAGCAAGCTCGAGCAAGCTCGAGAAATAACGGTTGTCATAGCTTCTTTCTTGTTCTGCTGTGAGCACTAGGAATTTTGGCGCGATCAGCGCACGGGAATTTTCGTTTTTAAAATTCGAACTAATGTCGAGCCCCCACAGACTCTCGAAATTGTTTTTTTTTTAATATTTCGGAATTTTCTTTTGCAATAAGGATTTAGACTAGGAATTTAGGCACCTTGCAATTTAGCTACATGGCGCTTCTTGCTCGCACGCACCGTGCCTCGACAGGGTCTGGGC